CGGCTTTTTTCTTTTTGCTTATGTGGTGCTGAGGAATCGAACCCAGGGCCTCAGGCATGCAAGGCAAGCGCTCTACCACTGAGCCACCTTCCCAGCACCATTCATCCATACTTTAATCAAACAAGAAGGCCACTAAAATCTGTGTTCACTCTTGTGGCTCTGGTACCATTTTTCTAAAAAAGATTTTATAGCTGGAAAAAAAATTGGAAACCACTGCACTAAACTACTTTCTTCCTCCTCCCCTTCTTCTTCCTCCTCTTCTTCCAAATTCCCTTTTTCCTCTTTATTTTCCTCTTCATGTGTGCCAGTACTGGGACTTGAACTCAGGGCCTTGTGCACTCGCTTGGCTATTTTGCTCTCCATTGGCCCTCCATTCCTTGAGCCACACCTCTACATCTGGTATTATGTTGGTTATGTGGAGATAAGTCTCTTGGGTTTATTTGTCCTGACTGGCTATGAACCTCAATCCTCAGATTTCAGCTGCCTGAGTAGCTAGGATTATAGGAATGAGCCACTCGTGCCTGGCTTGCACTAAAACTTTCAATAGTGAACAAATTTTTTTCTGATGTGTTTTTGAAGGATCATCAGGTTCACTACCCCCTATTCTTTTCTCGCTGTTTCTGATGAGCTGTAGAACTGCAGTTGAAACATGGCAGATGCTACAGGTATAAGGGAGCAGTGACTGTGCCTACCCTCTTCTTTTGTCTGTAGTATTTTCTTTAAGAACTGATTCACATGCTTGAAGTCTGATGCTTGCTTGGGGTTAAGCAGAGGAGGTTTTCTGCTGTTGGTAATGTTTGTGGTTGGGGGAATGAAAGATGGGAAAGGATGGAAGGCTGAGGAAATCCTAGAAGGACTAGAAATGAGGTTTAATAGGAGACAAAGTGGCTTAACAGCTGAGGATCTGTGGTTTGTTTGTTTTTTTGTTTTTTGGTCTGATCGTGGGGCCCGAACTCTGAACTCTGGGCCTGGGCGCTGTCCCTCAGCTCTTCAGCTCAAGGCTAGCGCTCTACTACTTGAGCCACAGTGCCACCTCTGGCTTTTTTCTTTTTGCTTATGTGGTGCTGAGGAATCGAACCCAGGGCCTCAGGCATGCAAGGCAAGTGCTCTACCACTGAGCTACCTTCCCAGTCCCCCAGCCTTCTTTACTAGTGTTCTGCCTTCCTCCAGAGCCCAGTGCAGAGCTCTTCTTGGTGTTGCTTGCCTCCTGGTCAGACCACCTCTGCCCAGACTCTGGTTTCCTTTTTCTTTTTTTCTTTTTTTTTTTTATTTTGCCTAAACGAGCTTGAAATCAGGGTCTCACAGTTGCTTGGCTTTCTTGCTCATGAATAGCAGTGCTCTACCACTTGAGCCACACCTCCAGGCTGCCTTTTTGCTGCTTAATTGGACTTGGAGTCACTGGTACCCAGCTCTGGCTCTGGTTTTTAATTTATGAATATACTCCTGTCCAGGTCGCTTCAATCTGGGTTTGCTGCTGAGGAGAGCTGGCAAATCTAGTGCTAACCTAGCTCTGGCTTTTAAGACTTTGGTTTTATCACTGAAGTGAGCCCCTTCTGGCCCATCCCAAGGGGGTAAAGGTTAACATCTTCATTGGAGGTCTTGATGGACAGGTCTCACCAGTCCTAGAGCCCATAAAACCCTAGAATCCCTACACATGAGCTCTACCCTTGTAGAAAGGCTTGCAGTTTCACAGCCAGAATGCTTGGAGAATGGAGCCTGGATAGAACCAGACTGTCTTGTGTCTCTTTTGGGCTTAGACTCTGCAGTGGAACTGTGGGAGCCAGACACCCAAGATGCAAGCAGCCAGGCCCAAGGAGGCAGCACCTTCCTTAGAGAGGATTCCAGGATGCCTCCATCTGCTGGGGGCCCTTTGGGCCTGCGGCTGGAGGCAGAAGAGCGCACTGCCCTGCTTACGGAGCCCACAGGTGAGGAGATTCTCTTTATTTGTAGGGAATAGGGGCTGGAGTAGGAGGGAACAGGTAATGTGGGTCCCTTTATTTTTATAATATCATGGCTAGGTCCAAAGGCTTGAGGTCAGCTAGACTTGAGTGATCTGAGCATGAATTTTTGTTTTCCTCTCCGTTTTCTTATTTGTAAAATGACAAGAACAATTATAGTGTCAACAGTGCATAGAAAGGGCTCATACTATTCCTAAGACAAAGGGCTTTTAGTGAATGAGAACTGTTCTTATAATAAAGAGATAAAACCAGACACTGCAGTACAAGCCTGTACTCCCAGCTACTCTGGTGGCTGAAGCAGGAAGATGCTTGATCCCAGGAGTTCAAGGCCAACTTAGGCAACAAAACAAGACCCCATCTGAAAAGAGAGAGAGAAAGGGAGTAAGAGAAAATAGACTGTATATGATGAAGGGAACCGAGTGCCCAGGGCAGTTACTGAATTGGAGAGACGCTTGAAACTCTTCTCTGAATCCAGAGCTCCGTCCACAAAAACGGAAAAAGGGGCCAGCCCCCAAAATGCTGGGGAATGAGCTGTGCAGTGTGTGCGGGGACAAGGCCTCTGGCTTCCACTACAACGTGCTGAGCTGTGAGGGCTGCAAAGGATTCTTCCGCCGCAGTGTCATCAAAGGAGCTCGCTATGTCTGCCACAGTGGCGGCCATTGCCCCATGGACACCTACATGCGTCGCAAGTGCCAGGAGTGTCGGCTTCGCAAATGCCGCCAGGCGGGCATGCGAGAAGAGTGTGAGTGCTTGGCATGGGGGGTGGGGAGGGAGAGACTGATGAGACAGAAGGGTGGCAGATATGAGGGCAGATATCTGCATCTCTAAACAGATTGAAATCTCTTCCTTGCTTTTACCCAACACTCTCTGCAGTTCTAGAGCTCTGACACACACACACACACACACACACACGTTCCCCACCCCATTTTTGCTTCCCTCCCCCTCCTTCTCCCATGCTCACATCTGGCCCCGTCCTTAGGTGTTCTGTCAGAGGAACAGATCCGTCTAAAGAAACTGAAGCGACAAGAAGAGGAACAGGCTCAGACCACATCTGTACCCCCAAGAGCTTCCTCACCTCCCCAAGTCCTGCCGCAGCTCAGCCCTGAGCAGCTGGGCATGATTGAGAAGCTGGTGGCCGCCCAGCAACAGTGTAACAGGCGCTCCTTTTCTGACCGACTTCGAGTCACGGTACTGGCCCGGCCTGGGGAGAGGTGGCTGGACCCGAGGCTCCAGCTGGCTTCTCCATGGCCAACTGAAAGCAGTTTGCTTTTTCCCTCTCCTCCCTCCGGGTAGCCGTGGCCCATGGCACCAGATCCCCAGAGCCGGGAAGCACGTCAGCAGCGCTTTGCCCACTTCACAGAGCTGGCCATCGTTTCCGTGCAGGAGATTGTTGATTTTGCCAAACAGCTCCCTGGCTTCCTTCAGCTCAGCCGGGAGGACCAAATCGCTTTGCTGAAGACCTCTGCAATTGAGGTGGCTGGAAAGAGCAAGGGATGATGGGAAAAGCAGAATGGGATTATCTGTCAAGGGAGGTGTGTGTGTGTGTGGGGGGGGAAGCACCAGATGTCTAGCTAGAAGATCCCAACTCACTGGGAAGCAGGGATAGGGGAAATGAACCTTCCCTGGAAGGGCCATGCACCACCATCAGCCCTCCTCATCCCTTTTTGAGAGCTGCTATTTGTGTGCAGGTGATGCTTCTAGAGACATCTCGGAGGTACAACCCTGGCAGTGAGAGTATCACCTTTCTCAAGGATTTCAGTTATAACCGGGAAGACTTTGCCAAAGCAGGTGAGAGCTGAGATGGCAGAGGGACTGGGTTGGGAGGACAGCTGCTTTAGTCACCAGGCCCATTGTGATTACAGAGCCATGAGCCTGAGGTTTTGGTGGTAGTAAAGGGAAGACTCAGTCTGGTTTGCCAAAAGAGAAAATTGAAATGCTGATAGGCCTCTCTCAACTGCTCCAAATAGACCCTTGTCCTCTATTGTATTAAACTAAGTCTTTTCTTTCTCTTTCTTTCCTTCCTTCCTCCCTCCCTCCCACCCTCCCTCCCTCCTTCCCTCCCTTCTTTCTTTCTTTCTTTCTTCCCTTCTTTCTTTCTTTTTCTTTCTTTGCCTGGGCACTAGCTCTAAGCTTCTTTGTGCTCAAGGCTAGCACTCTACCACTTGACCACAGTGCTACTTCCTGTTTTGAGTGGTTAATTGGAGATAAGTCTCATAGGAACTTTTCTGCCCAGGCTGGCTTTGAGCCACGATCCTCGAGCTCAGCCTCCTGAGTAGCTAGGATTACAGGCATAAGCCACCAGCTTATGGCTAAGCTAATTATTTTCAAACTGTGTCCTATATAATCTGGTGAGTTTATGGAAGCATCAGTTTAGGGGAGACAGAGGCAGACAGACAAATAGCCTTCATCCATACTTTTTTTTTGGGGGGGTCCAGTCGTGGGGCCTGAACTCTGGGCCTGGGCGCTGTCCCTCAGCTCTTCAGCTCAAGGCTAGCACTCTACCACTTGAGCCACAGTGCCACTTCCGGCTTTTTTCTTTTTGCTTATGTGGTGCTGAGGAATCGAACCCAGGGCCTCAGGCATGCAAGGCAAGCGCTCTACCACTGAGCCACCTTCCCAGCACCATTCATCCATACTTTAATCAAACAAGAAGGCCACTAAAATCTGTGTTCACTCTTGTGGCTCTGGTACCATTTTTCTAAAAAAGATTTTATAGCTGGAAAAAAAATTGGAAACCACTGCACTAAACTACTTTCTTCCTCCTCCCCTTCTTCTTCCTCCTCTTCTTCCAAATTCCCTTTTTCCTCTTTATTTTCCTCTTCATGTGTGCCAGTACTGGGACTTGAACTCAGGGCCTTGTGCACTCGCTTGGCTATTTTGCTCTCCATTGGCCCTCCATTCCTTGAGCCACACCTCTACATCTGGTATTATGTTGGTTATGTGGAGATAAGTCTCTTGGGTTTATTTGTCCTGACTGGCTATGAACCTCAATCCTCAGATTTCAGCTGCCTGAGTAGCTAGGATTATAGGAATGAGCCACTCGTGCCTGGCTTGCACTAAAACTTTCAATAGTGAACAAATTTTTTTCTGATGTGTTTTTGAAGGATCATCAGGTTCACTACCCCCTATTCTTTTCTCGCTGTTTCTGATGAGCTGTAGAACTGCAGTTGAAACATGGCAGATGCTACAGGTATAAGGGAGCAGTGACTGTGCCTACCCTCTTCTTTTGTCTGTAGTATTTTCTTTAAGAACTGATTCACATGCTTGAAGTCTGATGCTTGCTTGGGGTTAAGCAGAGGAGGTTTTCTGCTGTTGGTAATGTTTGTGGTTGGGGGAATGAAAGATGGGAAAGGATGGAAGGCTGAGGAAATCCTAGAAGGACTAGAAATGAGGTTTAATAGGAGACAAAGTGGCTTAACAGCTGAGGATCTGTGGTTTGTTTGTTTTTTTGTTTTTTGGTCTGATCGTGGGGCCCGAACTCTGAACTCTGGGCCTGGGCGCTGTCCCTCAGCTCTTCAGCTCAAGGCTAGCGCTCTACTACTTGAGCCACAGTGCCACCTCTGGCTTTTTTCTTTTTGCTTAGGTGGTGCTGAGGAATCAAACCCAGGGCCTCAGGCATGCAAGGCAAGTGCTCTACCACTGAGCCACCTTCCCAGCCCCAAGCTGAGGATCTGTGAAATATAGCAAACACTCCATTCTCAGGGCTGTGAGATCCTTGGTTCTAAGCTAGAGTTCATAAAGTCCTCTCTGATTTCTGGTGACTTACTCCAGCTCATGTGCCTCCTGTCCCAATGTGAGCCACCCAATGAGCTTTCTAGGAAAGTCTCCCTTAATTGAGGATAGAGCAGAGCTCTGTTGATTTCCATTGCTTTGAACACGAAGCATGGAGTGAATGTATGAGCAACTAATGGATGATTTGATGGCATCTCCTCACTTTAAAGCCCAGCCCTGACCCCTTCTCTACTCAAGTACCTTTTCCCCAAATGGCAATTGTCCCAAAGCTCCTTAGTCTCCTCCTTCTTCAGAAACCTCTTCTAAACTCTTCCCAGTTCCAGTCCTTTGTCAGCATTTCTGGACTTGTGCTATCTTTTTTATTTTTCCTGTCCATCAAGCTGCTTGAACCCAGGGCCTGGCACTGACCCTGAGCTTTTTCACTCAAGGCTAGTATGCTACCACTTTGAGCCAAAGAGACACTTCCAGTTTTTCTGGTGGTTAGTTGGAGAGTCTCATGGACTTTACTGCCTAGGCTGGTTCAAACTGTGATCCTCAGATCTCAGCCTCCTGACTCGCTAGGATTACAAGTCTGAGTGACCTGCACCCAGCTTGTGCTATCTTAATCTGCACCTTCTTAAAGACTGCTTTTTTCTCTCTTTTTATCTGTTGGGGAAGGTGGGGGGGAGGCTCCAGACATCCTGCTGGGAGAGCCCAACCCTCCTTTCCCCCTTGCCTCCTTCCTTCCTTCTCTCCCTCCCTCCTTCCCTCTCTCGTTCCTTCCTCCCTCCCTCCCTTCTTTCTCTTCTCTTCTCTTTCCTCTGAAACAAATTTTCACTTATAGCTCAGGTAAGCCTTTAACTCTCCACTCAGCTGGGATGACATGTATGTACCACCATATCCTGCTATAAGTTGGTGGGTTTTTTGGTTGTTGTTGCTGTTGTCAGTCATGGGGCTTGAACTGTGGGCCTGGGCGCTGTCCCTCAGCTCTTCAGCTCCAGGATAGCGCTCTACCCCTTGAACCACAGGGCCACTTTGGGTTTTCTGGTGGTTTATTGGAGATGAGTCTTCTGGACTTTCCTGCCTCTGCTGGCTTTAAACCATGATCCTCAGATCTGAGATCCTCCTGAGTAGCTAGGATTACAGAGCCACCAGCACCCAGCTACTTCTGGCTTTTTGCTGATGGATTGGATATAACAATCTTGGGAAATTTTCTGCCCATGCTAGCTTTGAACCACAATTCTCAGATCTCCTGTATAGATTATGATTATAGGCATAAACTACCAGGACCTGGTTTAAGTTCTTTTTTTTTTTTTGTCTGTCGTAGGGCTTGAACTCTGGGCCTGGGCACTGTCCCTCAGCTCTTCAGCTCAAGGCGAGTGCTCTACCACTTGAGCTACAGCGCCACTTCCGGTTTTCTGGTGGTTTATTGGAGATAGGAGTCTCACGGTTTCTCCTGCCCGGGCTGGCTTTGAACTGCAATCCTCAGATCTCAGCCTCCTGAGTAGCTAGGATTACAGGCATAAGCCACCAGTGCCCGGCTTAAGTTCTTTTTTTTTAAAGCAGGTTTATCTGTCTAACTAAATACTTTTTTTTTTTTTTTTGTAGTGCTGGGGATTGAACCCAGGACCTTGCATGTATTAGGCAAGTGCTTTATCATGTGAGCTTTCCCTCGATCCTCCACCAACCCTGTCTTTGTTTTGTTGTTGTTGTTGTTGCTTGTGGGGCCTGAACTCTGGGCCTGGGCGCTGTCCCTGAGCTCTTCAGCTCAAGGCTCGTGCCCTACCACTTGAGCCACAGTGCCACTTCAGGCTTTTTCTGCTTATGTGGTACTGAGGAATCAAACCCAGGGCCTCATGCCTTCAAAGCAAGCACTCTACCACTGAGCCACCCTCCCATCCCCTGTCTTTGTTTTTGAGATAAGGTCTTACCACTTACTTTGCTCAGATTGGCCTCATATTGGTGATCCTCCTGTCTTTACCTCTGGAATAGCTGGGATTATAGAAATGTGTCACCACATTGGCTATTTAACCAGTTTCAATGTCACTGACTGTATTTAACTTTCTTATTTCCTCTGTAAGGCCTTGGGGAAAAGGATGGTGCTCTACTTTGTTAGGACTCTTTCCCCTTTGCATTCACTACTGCACATTGTGAGCAATGGATGACCAATGATGTGGACTGATACCATTTGAAGTATTCACCTGTTCAGCTTTAGCAGACCCTTGTATGCATAACTCCATCTTAGAACCTTTTCTGTAGTTGTACAGAGGGGCTTTTGCATATATGTTAGAGCTTTGTTAAATTGGGTTTGCCCAGTCAACACATTAACACACTTGATAAACATCAGGGTAAAAGAACTTCAAGAAGTGACTAAGAAGTCTCTAGGGGCCAAGTGGTTGCTTAAAATTAGTCTGAGAAAGCAGCCTAGAAAACTGTGTGGGGTGCAGAGACCAACTATGGGAGAAGTGTCCTCTACAGGCCACGGCCTTATGTCATGTTGATGTTAGTTGTTTTCTCTGAAGGAAGACTGGTTCCATTAAATTTCTTGCTTAACAAACACCTACTAAAATACCACATACGTCACAAGTATCTCGAAGACTTTATGAGGTAGGTTCTATAATTATCTCCATTTTGCAGAAGGGAAAACCAAGGCCCAGAAGTTAGTTTGCCCCAAGTCACATAAATCCCAGCATTTCTTTACGACAGAGCCAGGATTCAAATCCTGACATTCTGGCACTGGAGTCTATAGTCTCAGCCACATTACTGAATTCATCCCTCTGGGATGTGACACATGAAATGTTACAATATTTTACATTACAAAGTATGAATGAGAATATGGTATGTATAATTTATATTTTTTCTTATAGTAAGAAAACCCCATATTGTGCAACTGTATTGTTGGAAAGTTTCTGGGGGTGGGGGGAACTTTTACTGCATTCTTGACTGGATAATTGTGTATGGGTAGAAGTATGAAAAGACTGGAACTTGCAGCTGGGTGCCAGTGGCTCATCCTATAATTCTAGCTACTCAGGAGGCTGAGATCTAAGGATTTTGGTTCAAAGCCAGCCCAGGCACAAAAATGCTTGAGACTCTTATCTCCAATTAACCTGCAAAAACCATAATTGGAGGCATGGAGCATCAGTCTTGAGTGAAAAAGAAAAAGAATGAGAGTGTAAGGCTCTGAGTTCAAGCTCCAGGTTTTTTTCTCTCTCTCTTCCTCTCTCTCTCCCTGCCCCTCACACTCAGAGTGTATTTTGAATTTTTTTTTTTTGCCAGTCCTGGAGCTTGAACTCAGGGCCTGGGCCTGAGCCTATTTGTGCTCAAGGCTAGCAATCTACCACTTGAGCCACAGCGCCACTTCCAGCTTTTTCTGTTTATGTGGTACTGAGGAATTGAACCCAGGACTTCATGGATGCTAGGCAAGCACTCTACCACTAAGCCACATTCCCAGCCTCTTTCCCAATTCTAACAAAATAAAACAAAAAACAAAACCCTCTGTAAACTGAGAGGCTTGGCTTTTGTTCTGTTCTGTTTTTATACTTTTGCTACTGAAAGCCTTACCAAGTTAGGTAGAGTGATATCAAGTTCTGTATCAAAAATAGACAAGAGAATTCTGTCGATGCTATAATGTGACTCTATACTGGTGAAAATAACCTTTTGTTTCCCCTCAACCTTTTTTTTTTTTCCCTTATTTAAATCCTTAGTGTCCTTTTCTCATTCATGACTCTCTGTATTACCCCAATCAATAAATTTGTGTGTGTGTGTGTGAAAAACCACTATCTCCAGTATTCAGATAAAGCTGTTTACCAGTTAAAAAAAAAAAAAAGGGAGGGGGGAAATAAAGGCAGGGAGGCAGGCACTAATGGCTCATACCTTTGATCTTAGCTACTCCGGAGGCTGAGATAGAGGATTGTGATTTGAAGCCAGATCAGGCAGGAAAATCTATGAGACTCTTCTTTCCAGTTAACCACCAAAAAGCCAGAAGTGGAGCTGTGGCTCAAGTACTAGCCTTGAGAAAAAAAGCTCAGGAACAGTGCCCAGGCCCTGGGCTCAAGCCACACAACCAGCGCAAAATAAAGGGGGGGCAACATGGGGGGAGAGGAAGAGGTGCGCTTCTTTATAAACAAGTAATAAATGCCTCTATTTCTAGAAATATGGAATTCTTGAAAATTCTAACAGAATTTAGCCAGGTAGAGTGTACACCTGTAATCTCAGCATTCAGGAGACTGAGGAGGATAGAGAGTTCAAGGCCAGCCCAACTACATAGTAAGGCGCTGTCATCAAACCAAACCAAATCAAACCAAAAAAGGACAAGCAAAACAAAGCAAAATGAAAAATATTCTCTCCTCAAAATTGTTACTGTTTAATTCAGTACCTATAAGCCAGAACAGTGTTAAGATCTCTGTATGCTTTATAATTTAATCATCACAACAATTAGCTAATGTATTTCACAGCAGAGGCTTAGAGAGGTGAAAAAACTTGCCCTTACATAGCTCTCTGGAGACATCTGTGAGTTCCTAGGGGCTCCTCAAGGTGAGAAGTTGGAGGAAGTTCCTGCTGTTCCTGTCACTTTCTTTGTTTCTTTCTAGGACTACAGGTGGAGTTCATCAATCCCATCTTTGATTTCTCCAGAGCCATGAATGAGCTTCAACTCAATGATGCAGAGTTTGCTTTGCTCATTGCCATCAGCATCTTCTCTGCAGGTGCGCAGGAGGGACAAGAGGGAAACTGAGTAAGAGACTTGCATGCAAGAAGGCTGCAGGCCCTCCCCTCCCCCAGGGTAGGAATAGAGTGAAAATCCACGCTGTGTTTTTTAGCCAAGTGGGAGAGGTTGGCTGGGAGATGTCCCTAACTTTGCGTTGTGGGTATGGAATTAAGAACCCTGGCCAGATCTGCTCCTCAATTGTGTTGGTCACCTGTAGACCGGCCCAACGTGCAGGACCAGCTCCAAGTAGAGAGGCTGCAACACACATATGTGGAGGCCCTGCATGCCTACGTCTCCATCCACCACCCCCATGTGAGTCATGTCATCCTGTCCTGGTGTCCCCTTCCCCTTTCCCCTCTGCTCCTTGGGTCCCCTTCCCTGACACATTTTCCCTTCAAGCAAGTGCTTCTTGGCCTTCATCTAGTATGGGCAATTATCCATGTCTCCCTAACTTCTCTGCCTTTGCATCTCCTTGCCTGAGAGAACCAAAGACCACACTTGTCCCTTTTCTTTCCTTAAGGACCGATTAATGTTCCCACGGATGCTAATGAAACTGGTGAGCCTCCGGACACTGAGCAGCGTCCACTCAGAGCAAGTGTTTGCGCTCCGCCTGCAGGACAAAAAGCTCCCCCCGCTTCTCTCAGAGATCTGGGATGTGCACGAGTGACTCTTCTTTCCCTCTGTGTTCTGGGCTGTGTGGCTGGAGGACCCCTAACTGCCTCCATGGGGTGGGACAGACTGAGAAGGGCAAATAGTCCTGGGAGCTAGGTGAAAGAGCTTCTCAGTGGCTTTGGAGAGTATGTGTGTGTGTGAGTGAGTGAGGGGGAGGGGAATGTTGTTAAAATGATGTTTCATCTGATGACAGTATTAACCCAGTCAAGTGGATGAACCATGGGCCACTTTGCATAAGGTTCTCCAGCGCCCTGCCCATTCTGCCTTCACCACTTCCTGTTTTTTTCCCCCAAGGGGGACCTCAAAAGATATTCTCCACTGTCACTCTGCAGCTTGGCCATAAACGCCTCGGGGCTGGTACTTGAAACAGGAAGACCGAGATAAATACAGAGAGAAAAGAATTTCTGCATTAAGGCTGAGGACTCGGCTCTAGAGGGGGAAGCCTGTGTCCTGTAGGATCCGCCTCCAGACTCAGTCAAGGCTGTCAGTAAGAGGGAGCCTCATTTCACAGTTCCACGGCGCAGTCTTGATAGAAAACAAATGCTGAGGCTTAGCCCTATCTTCTCCCGGGATGATGGGATAGGTGGGAGCGGGTGGTCCTTCTTTGGGCAAGAAGAGGTTGGAACTTCAGAGCTCAGCTGTGCACCTCACACACGTGAATAATGTCTGCGTTTTTCCGTTGGCGGATGAAAGAGGACACACAACCTGCAAGACCTAGGACCAGAAAAATCCCTCCTCCCGGTCCCCAGACCCTGCAGGACCAGAAGCCCCGGAAGCGCAGCGGTGGAGTGGGGACGGGAGGGGGGAAAGTTGCCCTGAGCCGCGGAGCTCTTATGAGACTGGACTCCATTTCCCAGTGGGCACCGCGGCACCGCTCACGCCCCCCCTCGCCCGTGGTGCGCTCCGGTGTAGGTGATAACGCAGTCCCCGCCCCCAACCCCCGCCACCCAAAATTGGTAGGCTCCGTCGGCCGGGTATTCCGCTCTCCAGTCCCGGCGGGCGAGCCCTTCCAAACGGCGCGCGGGGGGGGATGGAGCCAGGTGAGCTTTGACGAGGTGCATAGAAAGTGCTCGGGGGCAGTTTAATCTTCTTTCAGATTAAAAGGTATTTCATTAAAACGGATCTGTGATCATGACCAATTAAAATCTCTCTGAGCAACCGAAACAAGCGATATTCCTTTTGGGTTCTCCCCCCTTGGCACCCGGCGACGCTGGGCTGGCCCAGCTCCTTCCAACTCGTACCCACTCCCTCACTGATAGGTGTGTGCAGAAGCTGCCTCCCTCCAAAGATCGGACCCACCTTTCCGCGCTCCTTTTGGTACGACCCCCCTCCCCCCCCACCTCCGCGGTGAATGGTACGGCCCCGGCCCCCTCAGCCTCCCCCTCCCGCACCGCAACGGAGTGGTACGCGCCCCCCCCGCCCCCCGGGCCAGACGCGGAACTGGCGCCCGCTGACAGGGCGCCTCGCGGGGGCAGAGGCACGCTGGGCGGGCGGGCGGCGCGGCGCGGCGCGGGCACGTCCCGCTGTGGCCTGGCAGGTTCCTCGAGACCCGGGAGGTAGGAGAGTCCAGGCCGGGGGCGGGGGTGGGGATCCTAAGCGTGTATTTGAAGGGAGGGGGCGGTCCTGGGGAGAAGCGGCGTCTGCGAGGAAAAGGGGCTTCGGGAGCAGCGGGTCTTCGAGGAGGCCCTGAGGGGACGTGAGGGGGGCGTGGAGTCCGCGGGGGTCCGAGGAGGG